AAAGAAAAGAAAAGAAAAGAAAAGAAAAGAAAAGAAAAAAGAGAAGACCATTGTCTAACTGGCTTGGAACCACCGCTTTGGGAAACGGAGCGGGAGCGCCCCCTGGGGGAGAAGTTAGGCAGCGTCTGTTGTGTGCTGGGTGACTGTGTCCCTCCAAGTCCCCACTCGCCAGCACCAGGCCTCCTCTGGGGCCGCCTGGCTGTGCTTCCTAAACTCTGTGCTGTGTCACGGTTAGAGGTCACATCCTCTGTCGGGGTCTCAGTCCCAACGCCGCTTTCAAAGGCCTTTCCTGAGGCCCCTGGGGCAGCCTGACCAGATTTACAGGCATGGAAGATACCCCGGAACTGGGGCCACTGGGGCCTTGAACGCAGGATGAGCCCTGGTCCCGACCTAGCCCGCCTTTTACAAGCACTGCCACCCCGACCAGCTTACTCCTCCTCTCTGCTCCGCACACTTACTCCTTGGGCTCCGGCAAGACCAGCCCCCGCAGCACGATGACCTGTCCGGGCCAGAGACCCCGGGGGACGGGGAGTGAGCAGGGCACCTCCTGAAGGAACAGGTGACGGACAAGTTGACCCACAGAGGGGCTCAGGGAGGCTGCTGCCCCTCGTGGGCCACTCTCAGGGGTGGGGGGTGGGGGCCCCGGAGCAGGTAAGTCTCCGCCTCTCCGCCTGCAGGGGGTGGGGCGGAGAGGGGTGTGGGGGGTACTCAGCTCTTCATTTATTAACACCTGCTGCAGGCCTGGCCCCTGCACTCCAGCCCCCCTGGCCTCTCCAGGTGCGATTGGTGCCCCTCTGTGCTGAGAGCACCGTGTATGTCCCCATCCTGCACCCAGAACTGTAATGGCCTGTTCATCGGTCCGCCTCCCCACCAGCCTGTGAGCAACTGGGGGCCCGGGGACTGGCTTGTCCCTCCATCCTAGAGGCTGACACCGACCCTGGCACAGAAGCGTATCAAAGAACTGCGTGCAGAGTAAGTGAAGAAAAGGCCGATGAAGCTAGAGCTTCAGCCTGCAGCTGCCGGCCCACCCACGACCTGCGCTTTTCAATGAAGGGACGGAAAACCCTGATGCTGGAGGCAGTCCCACCAGGTGGGGGTGCCCCTGACCCGTGATGGGGCTCCACCTGCTCCAGAACGAGGGGGAGGTCACTCACCAGCCCGGGGCTCCCTGGCAGGAAAGGCTGTCAGGGAAGAGAGGGTGCAGAGGTCACGTGGTGTTGGCTCAATGAAAGGGAATGTCTTGATACTATCATTATTAGACCTTGGGCACCTCTGGGTTTGTCTGTCAGAGGCAATGCGGGTGAATGATGGGAAGCCCCTCTGAGGTCCTCCCGAATTCAGAAGGGCACCAGCTCTGGAAAATGCGGAAGAACTGGCCCGAGGGTCTGTCATTTACTCACCATGTGGCCTTGGGCAAGTGCCTGGGCCACTTGTCCCCTTCTGCCCTGCAGGCCAACCCCAGCTTCTGGGGTTGTTCTGGGAATGGAAAGCTCCCATCTACAGGGACCTCCTGATAGGAATACTGGGCCTGCCCCTTCAGGGTGGCCGCTCCCTCCCCCCACCCCCTGCCACCCATCTTCCCAAGCAAGAGACCAGACAAGCTGGGACAGGCAATCCAGGCTGTCCAGGGACCATGGCAGAGCCCGCCATGTCCTTGGCAACCATGCCATGAGGGAGGGGCAGCTGGGCCTGTGCAAGGGGAGCAGCAGCCCAGCCAGCGAGGGCAGGTCACGGTGGGGGAGGGACAACCAGGGGCTCAACTCCTATGTCTGCGTCAAGGGGCCCACTTTGCTCCCGAGAGACTCACGTGCCCAACTGGATACTCGCTGCCTCCCTCTGGAAATGGCTGTCGGGAAAGAGAATGAGCAACAGCAGGATTCAGGGTGGCTGCAGGCCCCGGGGGCCATTCATCTGGCCTTGGCCAGCCCTGCCTGTGCCCGGATGCTGGCAGAGGTTGCCTTGGCCTTGAAAGCGCCTCATTCTCCCATTGGCCTTGTCGGTGGTCCTCACACCTGGCACTGTGAACCCTCCGCCTGCGAGGTCCCCCTCAGGTGACCTGAAGCAGCATCTGCGTGGGGCCTGCAAGCTGGCACCTGGACAAGCTCCTCCAGTGGGAGTGACACTGCCAGCCCCGCGTCTGGGGCCCGGGCGCTAAGTCTCCACGTGACGCGCCTCCTGGTCACTGCTCCTCCCTCCAGACTGACCCCACACCCAGGCTCTTGGGCCCCTCCGTGTCACCGTCTCCTCCCCTCGCCCCACTCATTCCCGACACCTCAACAGAAACCCTTCACTCGGCCATAACTGGTGAGACAGCGCTTGTCTGGGGCAGGAGCGGGGCCCAGGCCAGTCCAGGTGTCAGCGGAAGTCAGAGGCCACTGCCGCCCAGGCTGGGCCCAAAGGGAACTTACGTTGATGTTCAGGAACCCAACAGCCTGCACCACGATGTCCCCAAATATGCCCAGCGTGTCCACACGGGACAGTGGGAGCCGGTAGCGGTAGTGGAGGAAGTGCTGTCCGTTCACGCTGACCTGGAGACACACAGGGGCCGCCTCAACTCAGCTCAGGGTTGTTGGTTCACTCCAGGCATCGGTGAGCCCTCCTACCTGGAATTTCCCTCACTTACCTTCACCCCAGCTCTCTGCAGCAGGTATATTTTGCAGACGAGGCTACAGGGCTGGCAGGTGACAGAGCTGGCAGGTGGCCTTGGAACCAAGGCACCTTTCAGGCCCCTGTCTGCCCCTGACAGCACCTCCCCACCGCGCAGCCCTGCATTTCACCTGCACAGACCTGCCAGCAGCCTCAGCACCTTCCCGTCCACAGGTGAGGAAACCGAGGCTCAGAAGGCTGTGCAGACCCCTGTTCCACAGTCTCTCCCTCCACTGCTGCCTCCCACCACTCCCTCCCCTTGGAGACATCCGAAGACCCCCTCGTCTTTCTGGCAGGAGTCACATCAGTGGTGAAGGCCTCAAGGTCAAGTTCTCTCTTCCTGCCCCCTGCTCCCTGAGCTGTGAGACAGGAGAAGGAAAGTACCTTCCTCTGTGGTTGTCGGGGGACCCCATGAGCTGACATTTAAGGGCTCAGAACAGCGCTGGGCATGTGCAGGTGCCCTAGATGCACCGGGACTGTGGCCGTGGCCCCTCCCTGGGGCCAGGCACCGTAGAGCTGTCTCGCTGGTGAGTGGATCAGGCCCCACGGGCCCAGGGCAGCTCCTTGGTCCTCTGGGCACTCGGCCCCTCCCACGAGTTCTAGATACCCGATGCCCCTGGGATCACCTTCATTTCCTCGTTTCCAAAGAGGAAGAGGATGAGGAAGCTTTGTCCTCTCTGCAGAGCCAGGCCGGGCCACCGGGCCTCTGCTTGCCAGCGCCCGAGGTGCAGGGTGTTGCAGATGACATGGGGCTTGGTGGTATGGAAGCGCGGGTTGAAGTGGATGGCGATGTCTGGCCGGGGACGCAGGCTGCAGCCGCACTGGAAGTCCACCTGGAACCTGGTGGGAGGGGGGGCTCACCGAGGGCGCTTCCCCTCAGACACCCCGAATTCCCAGCTCTGTGCCTCTGGGGCTGAGCCCCAGCACCCCAGGGGAGCAGCCTCCTTACCTGGCTGCATCTAAAGGGACCTCTCCCTGCAACATGACCATCTTGCCTGCGCGTAAGCCACCAAAAATTGTTGTGACATAAGGAACCACCTGGACAAAGAGAGACACCCATCCTTACGGGGTGGAGGACAGGCCAAGGGACCCCTATATCAGAGGGGTGGGGAGGGAAGAAGAACAGGAAAGCTTGATCCTCCTGCTGCAAACAGAAAACGTCCTATGGGGAAAAATTAGTTTTCTGAGATGATGTCTCTGTCTAGTCCCCTTTCCTGGACCTTCACAAGTCAAAGCCACATGGGCCCCGGGGAAGCCAAGGTCAGCTCCGCTGCTCGTTGGAGCACCAGCCCAGCCCCCCTCCCCAGTGAGGCTTGCTGTCCACTGGGTGCTGCCCTGGCCTCCAAAGTCTGCTGTCCGGGCTTCCTGAGGACTGTGTTCTGTCCGGGATGCGGGAGGCAGAAGGATGGACCAGTGGGGACCTGCCAGAGGCCCCTGCTGTGGGCGCCTGGAGAGATGCCTACCTCGCGGTGGCCCGCCCAGCTTCCCAGGCTCCCCCTGCCCTGCAAAGAAGTCCCCTGGCATTCTTAAAGCACAGCACACACTTTGTTGCAACTTCCTGCCCTCTCTGGGGCTGTTTCCCCTGCTCTCCCCACACCTGTGAAACTGGACTTGGAATCCAGCCTCCTAACATCTTCTCAAACACCATGCACTCTGGTGCCTGAGTTATCTCTCCCTTCCCCATGATCCGGACCCCTTGTCTGGCTGGCTGGCTTCTGGGGAGACGTGTGGCAGGCTGTCCACACTGGGGGGGGGGGGCACCAGGCCTTGACAGCGGAAGCCCTGTCTCTCCCTGCTGTGGGCTCAGTGCCCGGCCTGGCACAGGTGGGCTCTGAACAGGTGTCTGTGGGATGAATGTGAACTCGCAGCAGGTGCACGTCGGGCAGTGTCACAAGACCAGCCGCCTTCCCGCGGTGTTCTGCCCCTCCCAGCAGCCTTCCGAAGCCCACATCACCTAGAAAGAGCCGAGACCCGACCACACTGCCCTCCAAGTGGGAGCTGCAGCCTGAAGACGGAGGAGGGATTGGAACCTGGGCAGCTGCTTCGCCCCATCACTCAGGCACCTGGGGAGGTGCAGCGGTCCAGACGCCAGGTTACCCGCCGCTCAGCTGTGCCCAGCAGCACAGTCCCTACTACTGAGCAGGTGCGAATCTTGCCCAGAAGAGGGCCAAGCAGAGAGAGAGAGTGATGACCAGTGCTCGTTGGGGGAGGTGCAGCTGGCCAGGCTTCAGAGCCTCTGCAAGGGCACTGAGCCGGGGGAGGAAGACAGGAAGCCCCGCCCTACCCCTGGGCTGGCACTACCCATCTGTCTGCCTTCTGGGCTGGAGGCGAGACTGCCCTTCCTAGGTGCTCTGTGTCCCCACGACTTCCCCCACATCCGCCTGGTCACCCACCTGCAGCAGGGGCACAGCCCTGTGTCTCCAGGATCTACTACTTCCCAAGCAAGGACCCCGGGAGCCCAGCCGTCACTCACACTCAAGTGAGAATTAGCTGGCCAGACTTTGCTAAGCTCAGGGGCACCTGCCAAGCCCGCGGGCAGATGCTGGGCAAGCGGGGCACAAGGCCAAGGGCCCCTCCGCCCACCACCCGGGAGTCGGGCCCCAGTGGGAACGAAGACACCCCGAATTGAGAGTCTCCAGACCCCAGTGGCTGCTCACCGGGTAGAAGACTGGCGGCTGCAGGATGAAGGTGTCAGGAAGTGGGTCCAGTTTTTCCCCAGGTGACATGGGGGATGGGGCGTCTCTGGTGGAGCTGCTGATCCTGATCCAGGGCCCTGCCCCACTGGGCTGACTCACCTCTCCTGGCTGGGGCCCTCAGTGCCTGGGGCAGCTTCTCCAGCTGTTAGTCCCAGTGCCACCTGGAGCCTGCCTGGGAGGGCGAGGTCTGCCACACCCCAGCCCTCGGGCCACCCGCTGCACTGGGGCTGAGGCAGAAACCCGGGTCCCAGGGATGGGACACTCACACCAACCAACCAACCAGCCTACCAACCAGCCCCTCTGGGTCTAAAGCACACGGCTGGCCGTCGCAGGGGCTGGGTGGCAGGTGTGGGGTGCGGGCAGATGCTGGCTGTGTGGGGCCAGGGAAGGATTCGGTTTCCGAGGCTGCCCTCTGAGCCCTCCTCAGTCGGAGGCAGGCGTGGTGGCCCGGCCCCAGCTTCCCAGACGCCTTTGACTGGCTTCTCATTCCCTCCTCCCCTCCCTCCCGTACCCTCCCTCAAAAGGGTTTCATCTGTCCCGCATTTCCTTGCCCTTTTCCCCACTCTTCTCAGTTTTGTAAGTTTTCTAGTTCCCTGGGGCTCCATTTCAGCACCAGCTGGAAATGCCAGGGTCCAGCTGGTGTCACAAGAAAGTGGGGGAAGTGAGAGGGCAGGAAGAGAGGAGAGCCCGGGAAGGGCTCAGGAAAGGCAGTGAAGTATAGTGGTGGGGGGTGCAGGCGGAGCTGCGCCCGGTTGGGGGGGTCCTGGGTTCTTGCTCAGCCTCGGTTCTAAGGTGCTGTGTGCCCTGGGACAAGTCGCTTCCCCTCTCTGGGCCTCCCGCATGCATCTGTGTATAGAGAGACCACAGTGGTGTGTGGTTCCGAGGGAGGTCTCTCTCTGGGGGTGGACACGCACATCTGCATTTTTATCAAGCTCCGCCAGGGTCCTTTAGAAGAGAGGCCGTCTGGGCCCAGGTGTGGTTGGAATTCCGACAAGTCTCTCCCTGTGAAAGGAACACAACCGCTCAGCTCTGTCCTGAGCCGGGAGGTTCCAGGGTCTGACCACCGTCACACTTGGCAGCAAGGGGTTCATGGCGGGCCATGCTGAGCAGAGGGTCGCGTGCAGGGGCTGCTGGGGCAGAGCAAGGGGCCGCGCTGAAGAAGGGCTGCCTGTGTGCTGCCTTGGTGGGGGGTGGGGGGCATCTTAGCTGCTACACAAGGGCAGCAGCCGCAGCAGCCTCTGAAAGCTAGTTAGAAATGCAAGTGTTAGGGCCCCAACCCGGGACCTGCCGAGAAGGGAGCTCTTGAGGTCAGGCCCAGGCGTCTGCATTTCAACCCACTCACTGCCCAGGATTTCCAGCAACACATGTGAATGTTTGCGAAGCACCGACTTAGGTCCTAACTGGCAGGGCTGCGGGTAGCCAGCCAAGGAGTGTGCTCAGAAATTTCTGGGGTGGTGGGGCCGGGCTCCTGAACATGCTTGGTATGGAGAAATTTGATCAGAGGTGTGTTCAGGTAGAAAACTCTGTGTACAATGTGGGGACTGGGGGTGGGGGGAGGGGAAACTGCAGGTGCAGGAACCAGCGGGCCAGGGGCCTGGAGCCCCGCACTGGGAGTCGGACCTGGGCCCTGTTCCCAGTCTCCCAGCCCCATTCTTCTGGAATGAGGCAAATGCACCACCCCCTCCTTCCCCTCCCAGCCTCAGAGCCTGTCTGTGACTCAGAGAAGGAGGAGTTTTAGGTTTCTTTTCTCAGGCTGTTGCAGACTGGGTGCTTAGACAACTGAAGTGTAACTCCTCACCATTTCTGGAGGCCGAGAGCCCAAGGTGAAGTGTGGCAGGTCCTTTTGTTCCGAGGCCTCTCTCCTGGGATTGCAGGTGGCGGGCCCTCAGTCTGAGTGTTTGTGTCCTGACCTCTTCTTATGCGAGACCAGTCACCCCGGACTAGGACCCACCCTGTGCCCTCGGTACCCCTTCAAGGTCCTACCTCCAAACACAGTCACACCCCAGGACCTGGGGATCAGGAATTCCACTAGGATTTTGAGGGGGATACCATTCAGCCCATCACGGAGGAGTGGCTATAACTGAAACCCACGGCTATTGCCCCAGTCTGGCGTGCAGGCTGCTCACAGCCTGCAGTAGGGCGGGGGCAGCTGAAGGAAGGGTAGCACCCTCCATTTTCCAGGCGACTCTGAGTTGCGGTAGCCCCAGTGCCTGTAGACTGTGCAAGGTTCCAGAATAAGAGAGGGCCTTCGTGTCCGTTGGTCTGTCGGGCTGGGAGAGGGCAGATCCTTCTTCCTCAGTGAAGGGGACCTTGGGGAAGGGTCCAAGAGGGCTGACCATGACCCTGGCACCAGCAGGGCAGGCTCCGCCTCTTCCGCAGGCTGCCACCCCGCCCAGCTCCCCGCTGCCTGGACGTCTCTGTCAGAGCCCTTACCATACATAACTTGTCACTGCCTAGTGAAGTCTCCTTTGCTGTCTGTCCCCCATTGCCCCTGCTCTCCAGCTATCAGCTCCATGACAGCAAACCTGGAGGCCAGGTGTGTTCTGACACCCCGGTACTGAGCAAAGGCCCGACCGGAGCAAGTGTTCACAGTGCATTTAAAGACTGAATGGCTGTAACAAGGGGCGTCTATGGCTCCTGTCCCATCTCCGCCTCCTTCTCTGCCTCACCCCCAGCACATGTGGCACTGTGGCCCAAGCAGAAACTTACTGTTCTCACCGGTCGCAGAGTGTAAGTGAGGCAATTTTACCTGTACCTCTCCGTGACCAGTCCACCGGGGCCTCCAGGTACCCCGCTCTCCCCGTTCTCTGATGCAGTGGCCTCTGTCCCAGTCCCTGACTGTGGACGCTGAGTCCCGGCTCAGTCAGTGGGTCCTCTGTCATGAGGCACCAGTTTGGCATCGTCCTGACTGGCACCGAGGGCGAGACAGTCATCAGGAACAGTGACAGAACCTGACAGGGGGCCGGAGAAGGGAGGCCCGGGGAAAGGGCTCCAAAACACCTGCCTCCAACACCTTGGGCCAAGGGAGTGAGAACATTCGGATGGCATTAACAGAAGGCCGGGAAGCGAAGGTACCGCCCGGCAGGTGGCGAGCTGGCTCGCGGCACTCAAAGCCACTTTGGAGGAGGTGGGGGCACAGGAATTGGTCCGGGTGGAGCCTGGACACGGTCAGTGTTCATGAAGGAGTGAAGATGCGGTGCCTGAATGCACATTGAAACATTCTGGAGACAGCAGCTGCCATGCACTCAGAGCTACTCCGCCCTGGAGTGAGTTTCAGTGGCTGCAGCCTTTGTTGGTTCGTGGGGATGGAGGTCGTCCGAGGGGCAGGACCAGCCCTCAGTCCAGTTCTCAGGGCACCCCCAGTCTCAGTGAAGAGAGAGGACACACACTTGGGGGGCGGGGGGACAAAGAGGACAACGCCAACTACTCTTCCCTTTTCCCCTTAAGAGATGGACCCACGTGGACAGAAATGTTGTATAATGACAAGAACGAGCATCGGCCACAACCCCTGTAGGCTGACACAGCACCTCTCATCTCCTCGATGTCTATCCTACCGGGGAGGGAAAAAATTCCTTCTGGTGGGTGGTTCAATAATTAAATCAACATGAGACAGGGTAACGAGGGGAAATAACCACATTTCATTACTTTTGTATGTATGGGAACATCACATACATTTCACAAAGGTGAAATGAGCTATGTATGGCTTTTTGAACTGAGGATGAGGTGAGGTGACTTGAGGCTTCAGAGGGGAGAAAGGTCCTTGCAGGATGATAAGAAGAGCAGATATTCTGTAATAAGTTTATTTATAGGTAGGTCACGAGAAGTTATGTCTGGTGATGACTCTCATGATGGGCAAGGCACCAAATTCAAATTCTTTAAGGGGGAGCTAAAAGTTTCTCACGAGCCTGCGGAGTCTTGGTGACCTTCAGCTCAAAATAATCCACATGTCAAAGTGGCACATCTGGGGGAGACCTGTTCTGAACCCCTTCACTACCCAACTTTTTTCCTCACCCGTGGGTCATGGTTTATTGTGCAGCGTCAACTCTAAACGCAAAGCAGCTTGAGTTTTTTCCAGCCACTGCTCTTGTCTCCGTCAGCTGACCCTCTCTGCCCTGCTGGGCTGCAGACCCGCTAACACCTCAGCCTGTTCCCATCTCTTCTAGGCACTTTCGGTTACTGCAGCTCGATCCAGTTCAGCACTGGTCATCCACCTTTGTCGGCGTCATAAAAAGAAAGAGGAGCCAAACACGTTCACTGCCCGAGGGCAGAATGCATCATCACTCCTGAATCCTCTTGGGGAAAAAGTCATCCAGTCTGAATTGGACTGAGCCTGATGACTCAACCAGCAGTTCTTAGAAATACAGGGCACAACGGGGCAGAATGCAGACCGAGGGAGACTCACAGGGCCAGTGACCCAGTTCCTCCAACGAAAACTTACATTTTCTGTAAGGAGGGCAGGGGAAACCTACAGGGCAGAGGTTGGCAGACTTTCCCCGTAAAGGGCCGGGCAGTAAATCTCTGAGCCTCCGAAGGCCGTAAAGTCTCAGGTGCCGCAGCGAGGAGTCGCCTCTGCCCTTCCGGTGGGGCGGTTGCCACGGGCAGCGTGTCAGGGAAGGACGTGGTTGTGTTGACGTAAAACTTACTGGACACTGGAAGTTGACTTTCATACGATTCTCACATCCCGCAAATATTCTTCTTTGATTTTTAAAGCCGTTTAACAATGTATAAAACCACTCCTGGCTCTCAGGCCACGCAAAACCAGAAGGTGTAGGCCGTCCCCACGTGGGCCGGTGGCAGCTGCCTCCTGCTGCAGTTTCAAAAACGTAAGAGACACATCAAGGGATTGTAACTGACCCACTTTATTTGGATTTTGTTTCAGGCCAACAGTTAAAACGTGTGTCAGCAATAGGAGGACGCGAACACTGGCTGTTTGATGGCATTATGGAACTGCTAGAATGTTTTTAAATGTGCTGAGGGCATTGTAGCCACTTTTATTTTTGAAAGACTCCTTACCTGTTAGACA